GAATGTGCTGCATCGCACAAAAGTTTACATGAACTGGTTTTGAAAACTAAAGTTCGCAAATTTATGCATTGCGCTGTTTAAATAGTTAAGATAAATATGAGTTTGAGAAACATGAGTTAGAATGCTATTTGATTATATAGCTCTACTTATTTAGCTTTGTATTGGCGCAATGACGATGCTAGAGAACTGCTATCCGCGAGGACTGTCGGCCCCACAGTCGGGGGCTACGTAACCGGAATTAAACAAAATTTATGCATATCTCGTAAGGGGTTGTCACCTCAGCAACATTTTCTAAAACCGCTTGACGGACAGCACCTTGAAGCCCCCAATAAACAGATCAGCCAGATTTAAAAGTTTACGCTCCGAAGTTTAGGGCATCTAAGTACACCGTACATTTTCAATTAGACAATAATTCAAGGCCTTACATTTGACAGCTTGTGCTGCTAGTTTATTGTAAATAATGATTCTGGGCTCCCCTGAAATCAGAATTTATTTTCGAATCACTTTATTTTTTTAGAGCAACTCTTGAAGAAGTGTGGGTTTTACCAATTGAGATTTACTGCAAGAAAAATTGAGCAGTTCGGCTTTTCGATAGCTCTAGATCTTTTTTACAATGTGCGTTCAAAACTCGTTACAAAGCAGATAATTCCGAAACGAAAATGACTCTTGAAAAAAATAAAAATAATGTTAGGCACCATTACTCGGACCGGAAGTTTCCAGAAAGTATCATATATTCCTTTTTGGAAATACCTCTGAGTTTAAGAAAGCCTTACTTCTCACTTTCTAAACCTGAGACCACTCTCATTCTTCCAGAAAGGGACTAGGTAGGCATACCAATAAAAGAGGTATGTATTGTCTTGAACGGATCACACCCCACTTTTGCCTTCAACGAACGGTGAAACAACGTTTCTTTATTTAAAACCGTCAGAATTACACTCCCATAATAGAAAACACACATCGGTTTCATTGCGAAAAAAATATCCTGCCTTATAAAGACTCTTATGTGATACTGCCTAAATGTTTTACACGCCACGAGACTAGGGGTGGACACACCAAACATAGAAGAAAAAGAAAATGCACAACACTGTCATTGCCTTTCAAGGTCTCGTAGAGGTCCCACAGGTGTAAACAGGAGCATATACAAAATTCTCAGACTCAAAAAAGCAGTTTAAGCCCGAGTGCTTTTTTGCTATCGAAAGGGATCGGTAACTCCATACAGTGCGAAGACGAACCTAATATGCGCTCCAGCCATCTTAATCTAACCTTACTTCATCGTACTAAGAAGATCTTGTAAAAACTTCTATGTGCTTCCAACACCGCTTTGAATGACAGAATAAAAAAAAAAACGTGAACTGGGAATGCCAACGAGAAGAAGATAGATACGATTATTTTTTCCTCAAAGTTATATTAAAGCTGATTTCAGCTGCAAAAATTAATAAGCAACAAAAGTTTACGGAGTCCGATGCACGCAAAAGACTACGGAGAAATAGAAAAATGGAGCTATAAAGCCAATTCGATACATAAAAAAAATCTATGGTTTTTAGCTCAAGGTGTGAGTTTGGGTTAACTGGGTTAGGGTTAACTGGAATTTTTTGCATTTCTTAAAGTTATTAAGAGTCAAAAGTCTTCAGTACATAAAAGAACAAAGCGAAACGCAGTATCGGCTTTGAATCTTTTCCTTCGGGGCCAAGGATTTAAGAGGAACAATGAGCTAATCGTGGTCTATTATTGGAAAAGAACAGCATTGATGCAAAGGCATTAAGGACTTGTACATACATATTTAAAGTTTGTGCTCGTACATACATAGTATACTAAATTGCAATTTCCCTCTCCAGTTTTTATCTCTTTGCGATCAAATCATCATTTGCCACAGCCTATGCTACTCAACATTTCATTTGCTGGTTGACGTTTCCATGTGGCAAATTTTTAATTATAGACAAATTTCCGCAATTACCGCATATGACCGACAGAATTGAAAGAGTTGCAGGCAATGCAGATGCAGAAGTAGATGAACAAATCTTGCTTAGTTGCCGCAATATGGTGGGCCTGTTGTTGTCTGCGGGACATTTAACAGACAAACGAAGCATTGAAGCGAATTGGCAGTGTAAGTACACAATTTGTCTATCAACTCAAAATATGCATGTGCATATATGTAAGTATATGTATCTGTGTCGCCGTAGCGTTGAGCGACTAATTGGTAGGAACCCCCACTCGAGTATGCACAACGATGTGTATTTGACGTTAATATGTTTGTATGTATGTATGAAGATGACGTGGCGTATGCGCAACCAATTTTTATATAATAAATGCATTTTGTAACTAGCAGAGCACATTAAGACCCCCACACGTTCACAAATAATAGAATAATGATGCTTTAGAAGCGGCAACCGCACACGCATTCAAATAACAGCAACAGCAACAGCAACAACAAGAACATAGCTGATGGCAAGTTGCCATCAGGAAATGACTATTTTCGAGTGCATAATCATAAATGCATGCATGTATGTACATGTACAAGCATGTATGGGAACAGCTTCCAAGTGCAGACAAGTTTAAATGCGTTTTCGGGTAGAACGAGGAAAGAAGAGCTAACTTAGAATAGATGATGCACTTTTCTTGTATTTCTTTTTGGTGTGGAAAAAGTACCGAATTTTTACCTTTTTAGTTCCATGAAGGAAGCTATATATCTATACCCCTGTATATATATTTAAATGCTCTTAGCTAGCGTTCCAAATGTTCATAAAATGTTCCACTTCTTTTGTAATTTATATCTTTAAACGCATATATGTATGTATATATTTTGTATATTTTCGCACACTTTTTGTTTGCTTCGCAGCTAATCCTTCCCAGCTGCTACGGCAACACATTAAAACTAGAGCGAAACCAAAACCGAAAAAAAAACAATTGTAAACACTCTCTTGGGACAGTCATGCGCCATAAATAAAATTAAATTACATTGAACGCTCGACGATTGGCTGACTGGTCATTCTTTAGTGCCATTAAAGTCATGGCTAATATTTATTTTCCACACAGAAAACAGGTTTCCATTGTGTTTTAGCTGGTATGAACATAAGTGTTCTTACCAGTGGTTTAAAATTTATTGATGCTAAGAAGTGTTAAATATTTTTTTGTGAAAGAATAAACTTTTTTATTGGAAAAAAGCCAATAAAACTTTGAATTGGCGAGGGAGATTAAGTGTCATAAAAAGTGTTTGCTAGATGGGGGGGTTGACCAAAGCACTAATTACTAGTGTTGGGCAGTGTCGATACCAAGAGTACTCAGAACTCGATTCTCAAAAGGTTAGACAAGCACCAGATTTTTAAAAGTATCGATATACTGAGTACTCCAAAGAACTCAGTACTCACAAAAGAACTCAAAAGTACTCAGAACTTAAAAGAACTCGAAAGTACTCAAAATACTCTGTTCCAATACATGTACTCAGGATCGATTCAAAGTACTCAATTTGCAGATTCAATAATTTTAAAGTGCAAAACTTGTACCTAGTATAGTTAGCCATTCATTTGACGTAATTTGGGATTCATATATTAATTAGAATAAAATACTGCCAGCTTGTGAGATTTTTACACTAAGTAAGTATTGAAATGTTACCAACATGTGTACATTTAAAGAAAGTACTGAGCACTCTAAAAAATAGCCGATCTATACCAAAGAACTTGATCCTCAAAAGTGCTCGATACTTCCCAGCACTACCAATAACTAGTTTTGACCAAATAAATTTCTGCATACCTACTAGGAACATTGGCTGGGACAGCCCATCAGAATGGAGTTATTTCCTCACTTCTGTAAAGCTTGTGCTGTTGTCAATTGTAGACACAACTCTAAAAAATCAGATGTAATGCTCTTTTAAGCCAGGAATAAGGTCCCTAACTCTGAAATACTAAAGTTGAATGGTCACATCCCACGATCATCCAAACTAGTGAAGTATTTGGGTGTCATATTAGAACCTAAGTATCAAAAAAGTAGAAGCTAAGTATCAAAAAAGCAAACATTACCTTTTACTTTACAAGCGGATTTCAGGAAAAGGAGACGTCTAACCCAAAACTTTGACTCTGGATATAAATATACAACAGTTCTACGTCCTATCTTATGTTATCGTTCCTTGGTCCGATGGACCGTTTCAGATGACCGCATGCAGCGAAACTACAGGAAGAATGAGAACTTTCCCTACAGATGCCCTAGTTCCCATAGACCTTCCTGTAATGTACACCGCTTCAGGGTTTCAGAATGAGATGACTACGATCTGCAATAGTATGTAGTATAATTTCCTATACCACCAAAATAGAACACGAAGTTGGAGTAGGCATTTTCTTTGAATGGCTGGCGATCAGACGATCAATCCAGCCGTCTGACTTTGTGAGTACTTTCCAGGCATAAGTACTGCATATCGCCGATGGCTGCCGCCTTTTTAAGCGCCACCATCAAGAGCAGCGTGTCGAAAGTTTCTTTGGATAGCCGAGCGGCCATTAAAAGGCCCTAGAACTCTTTACAAAAAAGTCGAAGCCGGTAAGAAGTCTTTCGAATAGAGTTAGTAGTCAGTTCAAGGCTCATATAGTTTGCCTAGTCTGCGCAACATGCCTGAAAATTACGCTGCTTATCAGCAGGGTGAGGGTTCATTACACCCAATAGGAGCGCCATCTAGCGAAATTTTTACGCCATAATAAAACTTGACTTCTTAGTAAACCCCAGACCTGATCTTACGAGGCTAGTAGCGGTTATTACTTGATACTGGCTGATAGACACACCACAGAAGGCTGGGCATTACCTACAATGAGTTCTGTGTAGGGACGAAAGCCAACAATAAAAAGTATAAAGTCCAAAGGGGTAGGAATGCCATGCTCGAGGCATATGATCTGTGTATGTTCATAAACTTTAAACCCCCTAGAGCGTCACTAACTGCTGTTATATAGTACCATTCGAAATCTTCTTAAATTCTATAAATTCTATGTATATATGTAAGCATTGCTTTCTTCTTCACTCACCTGTCAGATGATTCTGATGAATCGCAACGATCGGTGCATCGCTTCTTCTTGCGTTTCTTCTTGGCCTGTTGATTGGTGGCAGCCGCCAATAGCTTACTGGCCGCTGTTATTGCAGCACTATTTCCGCCGCACAGGGCGCTCGTAAGCGCCGAATAGACGACGGCTTTGAGATCGTTGCCACTATGCGAATGATGCGCGTAAACCGAACCGAGTTGATCTGTATCGAGTAGGGCTTTCAAATTTTCCATATATTGTTTTTGCTGTTGCTCGCTTAGCAAACCAGCGGTAAAAGGTGACGAATTGCTTAACGCTGTTGCTGTTGCTGTGAGCGCGGCTTGTTTTTGTCGCTTGCATTGTGCGAAATAATGCGTTGACATTGGCGCCACACAAGCAGGTGTGGTGAAATTACTCAGCGTTGAGTTAGTGGCGTCAGCCACTTCTGTTGCTGTTGCTCCAGCGGCTGTCCTTTTTGTGGCACGCACAACACCTATGCCGCCAGTGGCGGTCAATGAGCTACTCTTGCTATTTTTATGCTCTGTAGAAATTTTGGTTGCTGTAGAAGTGAACGCTGATGCAGCTGAGGGTGGTGGCAGTGTCGGCATTGAGAATTTTATTTGCTTTTGCTGTTGTGGCTGTGGCTGTTTGCTTGTAGCCGTCAATATTGTTGACACGCCATTAGCGTTGCCGTTGTTGTTATTGCCAGTGCTGTTGCTATTCACATTGACACCTTCGCTCTCACCGCTGGCAAGCAGATTAACTGCATTTGGGGCGTTTGCGGCTACGCTGGACAATTTGCTGTCAGCCTGCGCTATTTTCTTGCCACAGCTTGCGCTGTTACCCTTAATGAAGCTGTTACTGTTTGTCTTAGCCACGCTGTTGTTGCATAATGAAGATGTCGGCGACATTGTGGCATTGCTGATTACATCCACTGCCGCTAGCTTGGCTTCACTTTTCTCCCGCTCAGCTTTTGCTAGTGCTGCTTCTATTGTCGACGCTCTAAGATTAATATTACGCCTGGCAGGCTGCAAAGTGAGATCTAAAATGTTGTTACACGCCTCCGATTCTGCTGGCTGCTCGGGGGCAGTTGTTTCGCTTGTCAGCTGCTTTGTAGCAGCCGATGCTTCCTTGCATTCTGTTGCATTCATTTTGCTTATGTTAGTGTTATTATTGCTGCTGTTGTTGTTAATTGTTGCATTGCTTAATTTTACAGCCACTTGTGGCAAGTCTTTTTTCGTTGACTTTAAAATGTCACTGCTGCAGCTGCTGTTGCTGCTGCTGCTGCTGCTGCTGTTGCCTAAAACGGCGGCAACAAATCGTTGCTGAAAAGAGTCTTTTATGCCGAGCCCGCTGGCACTTGAAAGGCTGCTATTACTGCTACTACTGCTGCTACTGGTGGCACTATTATTGCTGCTGTCATCCTCAGCGAATCGACGCCAATCGGTGAGATTATTTTGTGACTTAAGTTTGCTGTTGAAGTTATGACTGAAGCTGCTGCATTTGATATTATTCAGATTTGCGCTATTCTTCAGCTGATCGAATAGTGAAAGTTGCGGCGCTCCAGTAGCTCCAGCGCTCTTATTTATATTCGAGAATGTATTGGCTGTGGAGGTATTTATTGTGGCAGTGTTTTTGTTGTTGCTGGTGGTGGTGCTGTTTGTAGAAGTACTTATAATGCTGCTTGAGGCAGCAGTTAAGTCGCTGTTGCTACTGCTTCGGAGGCAGTGGCTTATGCTATTGTTGTTGGTCGTTATGGTTGTTGTGGTGTTGGTGTTGGTGGCAGTAGTGTTGGTGTTATTGTTTGAGTTGATTGTTGCTGTTGTTTTTGAGTTGGCGGACATTGTTTTCACTTCACTTGAACGTAGCGAACTCTACACACAAACTAACAGGCATTCAAATGCAATACGGTTTTGTTGTAACATTCAATTTTATGGCTTAAAACAATTCTTGATTTTTTTTTTTGATTGATCAACGAGAGCGGCTTCTATTACAACTTTGCAGTTTCTTTTTTGTCGGTACAACTGTTGCTATTTTTACACTTCCTAAACTCGCCGACGCTTCGAGTTATTTCACAATTTTCTACGCTGAAACTTGTCGGCGCGCGCATATTTTTATTTAAAAAATTCGTATTTAACCGATGGAGCATCTTTTATTTTTCAACGGTTTTTTATTCAATCACTTTTTTTTATAAAAACGCGCTCACTTTTTTACAATTTCTTGTTCAACAAAAATACGATATTAGATACACGATTTCGCGCACATATTTTCAAAGGATTTGCGAATAAATTTTTTTTGTTTTCTCAAATACAACTTAGGTTAAATTTAAATGTGTCCATGTTTTTAAGCAATCATTTTCAGTTCATTTTTTATGCAATCGTTCAGTAATACAAAACTTTAAAATATAAACTTCACTACACAGTGCGACTGCGTTACGCTTGAGTCTTCTTTTCGTGCGCTATTAATTTTTACTTTTTTTCACGATTCTGAGCATGCATTAGCAGTGATTTTATCAGATTTTTAAATTTTTTCGTCACTTTTTTAAATGTTTTTTAAATTTTTTGTTTTTTTTTGCGAGCGCTTTTCTATTTAATACTTTTTTTCGCCACACTCGCAGTCGCTTTACTTAAAATGCTTTTAATAATTTTTTTTTTCAAATTTCACACATCAATCACTTTTTTGCATATATTTTTTGTTGTAAACTTTTGCTTAAAAACACACAACGGCAACAGCATAAAAATTACTGCACATTTTCTTCGCTAATAGGCAAAAATTTTGTTAAATATTTTTTTTTGTTAATGTTCGCTATTTTATACCCATAAAAATTCCATTATCAAAAATTCGAATTTTTCGTTATAAAATTGTGTCCAAAACTATTTGCAAATCGTTTTAAAAAATTTTTAATTTTTATTTCACACTTTTACTTGTTTTCGCATGCTGCTTCGGCTACGCTTGACAGTTACCGCACAATGCCACAATTCGCCGCTGACGTGGAATTTTTTACAAAAATTTTCTAGTTTACGCCAGATTTAAAATTTAAAAATGCATTTTTTCATTCGCTACGCTGCGCGTTTTACATACATATTATTCCACATCAACTTTTAAAATATCGTCACTTTTTCACACAATTCACCAAACTAAATCCAAAATGTTCCTTTGCCCATTCACCGTCGGCACTCCGCATTCGCCAAGTTGAAAGTCAAACTTTTCAGCTGCTGCTTCTTCTTCTCGCTATTTGAGTTTCGATTTCCGCTGTTTGGGATTTGCACGGTGTTGCTGTCGCGCTGCCACAAATGCCACTACTGCTCCACTGCCAACACTGCCGCTAGTTTTGCTGCTTGCTACTCAAACTGCAGTGGTTGGCCACTCATTGCTTATTTTAATTTTTATTTTTATTTTTTTCCAGACTTCAGCAACAAACAACATTTAACTTCTGACTGGTTCTGACTCTTTGTTTTCTTGTTATTGCTTTTCTTTTTGTTGCTTGTGCCTTGCAATTTCCGAAATTCACCGCTTGCCTTCCGCCTGGCCTGCCGCTGGCTGCCTTGCTTAATAACCTGCTGTCTTTTTGTTTTGTTTGTTTATTTATTTTTTGCACGGAAGGGTTCAATACTACTGCAACAAGTAACCGGTTTCACGTTTCGCTTTTTTTTTTTGTTTTTCGCCTGCACTTCGCACAGGCATACAAACACACATAGAGAGCCATACACAGACGCGCGGCGTATGCAGACCTACAATAGCTCTTTTGTTGGACGTTGTAAATGGCTGCCAATGCACTTAGAACGCGCTTAGCTGCTGGCTACTTTGCTTGGAAGGCTTCACCTTCTTCTCTTCTTCCTCTCCTCCTTCTGATCTTCCTCTCCTGGTAGCTTGCAGCCTTTTGCTTTTGCACAGCAACTTCTTGTTCGTGCCAATTGCAACTCTGCACTCACCTTGCTGCTGCTATGCTGTCAGCGTGTGGAGCGTGTGAAATATTCTAACGGTTTGCAAAACGTCAGCGTACGCATAAATTTTACGGTAATACGTAGTTTTTTTCGTCTTTTTTTCTCTAGTTGATGAGATGCAATCCGTTGTTGGTGTTGTTCTTGTATTCACATGTTTTAATGCCCGCAGTTAATCCTATTTATTTTATACCCAGCATGAAATTACTTTTGCATTCTAATATTTTGCTGATGTGTTTTGGTTTTTGTTGGGCTGGTCGGCGGTGCGTGTAGCTTAAGTATAAAAAGTTTGTTCGTATTTTTTTGCGTTTGTTATTAATTGCATTTCTTCATAGGCTTTGCACTTCGTTCTCTAGTTTCTAGTTTTTGCCTTTCAATTAATCTGTAATAAAAAATAAAAAAAAAGTGTTAGCAATAAAATTTTAATGAATGGAAAGTTTTGTTAAATATTTTACTATCCGCAATTAGTTTCTGTATTTGTGCAAGCATAAGAAGTTCATAAGGAACTGAAATTATTTTCAGAGTATTTGCTTACTTTTTTTGTGAAAAAATAGTGATAAGCCGCGCACAACTAAGAAAGCGAAGTCAAACTACATATGTATTAATGAAAAAAAATTCTAAGACAGCGCATGAAAATATTCAAAAATTTTATGGAGGAAGAGACTCATTGAAGAATTGCTATTACGTCTGCGATCTTGATGATCTGGTATTATCTATGACCTTAAGAGAATTTTCACTTAGCCAAAAAGTGTTTTACGGTTTTCTTCTGTTTCACATCCCGACGACTTCAACAAAAATTGCTCCAAGAGGAGCTTCGGATATCGGATATCTTGGTAAAAAGCATGAGTGTATTGAGAATCACTGAACTAATGACATGTCTGATCGAATTATGTCCGATTTTGGGTAGACACGCCTGATTATTCTTTTTTCCCATGATTACTTGGTCAGACATCTCTTAGATATCCCTCAAAATCGTCGGTAATTAAGTGCCAACACCAACGCCCTACAGTAGTCTCACTGTTGCCAAAAACTACCGGACAATCCACAAACATAACCACCAGTCACCACTCTCACCAGCGCCGCTGTCATAAACTATCGGGCGATTCACCAGCCGTCCACGGATCATCGACTGGTGCTAGTACCAGTCACTGCTGCACACCGTCTCCGTGTCCGTCTTTATCGGTCATGTCGTCAGCTTTTTCACCACCTCTGCAGCCTCTCTCTCCTTCGAGGCCTCACACAGCCAACAGAAATAAAATATTTTATTTGATGGGGGGAGTAAGACCTCCGCTCAGGCCTAGATTAATTGAGCATTGCTCCAGCCGGCGATCAAACCCATGTCATACGACAAGCAGAGCACGTTGAGCCCAAAAGGGCTGGCAAGTGCATACAAACCTCAATTTGTTCTTAAGCCTTTTGAGAACTGCAAATATCGCCTTGTTTACCACGTGCTTTTATTCATAAATTTTATAGCTCTGGAGCTTTCGCGGCAGAGTAGATCAATATTACTGCTTGAGGAATGGTTATAGTAGTCAGTAATCGGTGCTACACAAACACACTTGATGCATCCGCCGAAAACTTCTCCGTAGTTTTCTAAATGGCAAAGCCACAGCGCTATGAGCCGTAGCGACTGTGCATGCAGAGGTGGTAACTGATGGTTATCATTGGCCTCAACGAAAGTAGTCACGTTTTCTAATATAGTCCTACTGTTCCGTAGTGTCAGCTTCCTCTTCACTGTGGTAAAAATTTAGTACACATGCCAGGCAAACCATATGATGGCTTGATCTACAAGCCACCTCAACAGAGAGCAGCACTCTCTCATTTCTCTATTTTCGAGCTATTTGTATAGCTAGTAACGCCATCCGTCACCGTCAGTAGCCGAGCGCACTGTTATTCCTTTCGAAACCCCTATTGGAATGGAAGTGCCACAACGGTTTAATATAGTTAATGCTCTCATTCCAGTTAGTTTGGTTTTCAAGGGTTTTTATGGTCTGTTCATTTCACGCAAGATCAAAGCGTGCCCATGTCTTTCTCTCATTGTTTCCTTATCCCTTTTTCATTAATTGAGCTTCATAACAAATTTTCTAAAAACATTTTTCTTTTCTAAATTCATCAGACTGTGTCCGCCGCATTCCACTTGCTTAACAGACGTACCTAAATTTGAGCGCTAAGCATTGGGAGTGCTAGCGCGCTATACCCAAATAAACGCGGCGTAATTTTTGACATGTCGTTCGAATGAACAGAGACGCTCTAGCGCTGAAAGTATTCACCGCGGATGGCGATGCTTGTAACGGAAGAAGAGAAGGAGGTCCTTTGCGTTGGAAATACCAGGTAGACTGGCGTGCTTCGTTAAACTCGGCCCAAATCGCTTAGGCGGTTAAAACGTCAAATAAGAGGAAGATGAATTTTTGACGTTTTCTCATTTCCTCTTGTTTTCATTCTCGTTTTTCTTTCACTTGCTTCCTCTCTTTTATTTCTGTCTTCTGCACCTAACTTCAACACGCAACGCCAGCAAAATTTAAAATTCCATTTGCGCGGCGCTAACGTCGCGTTATCGTGAGACCAAGTTAACCGATTTCGATAATCCTTTTTTCATCAGAAAGATGGTACCTCGAGGGTGGTCCAACACTAATTTTGTCTAGATTCGATAATCGGATCGTGAAGAAATTAACGATAATCTTAAATTTTTATATGAGAATTGAAGTCGGTTTTGTTTTTTGCTTAAAAATTACTTGTTTTTATAAACTTTTGCTCGCCTGCTGTGGGTTCTGCTTGCGTTTCTGCGCACGTACGCACGCACACAGAGTTTTAATCACACCCATTGTTGGTCTATCGACAATCGTCGCGTCGCATGAAGAAACCTAAATGGTCTTTGGAGCCAAACGACGCGCCGACGCTAACGGCCGGCCACTCGTCCAATCGGCGACTTAACTCAGTCGCAATCAGTCGGAATCAGTCACAATCAAATGTACGCGGTGTTTAACAATCAATCGTTATGCTTGTCAGTCACACAGTCAATCAGCGCGTCGGTCACTAAGCGGCACAGACAATCAAATGAGCGGCGTGTGTGTCGGTAGGTGAGTTGTACATATGTATGTATGTACACATCCATGTTTGTAGAAGCACGCACGCTTCTTATGGCTGGAAGTGTGCTTTTCCAAATGGTTTATTTATTTTTCATAACTGGCGTTGTTGTAATTGCTGTCTTAAGCGTCAAGTATGCGCTTACTTAACACTTGTTTTACAAAAACAAAAAAATATAAGAAACGAGGAAAAAATAAATTTAGAAAACAAAGCAACAGCCAATACTTGGCCAGCAGCTGTAAGTGAAGCTACCCAGCCAGCAAAAAATCCGAAAACCGATCCGAAAACGGAAAAAAGTCGATGAAAACCGGATTTTTGCCCGTTTACCGATACCATTTCCGGATACTTTAATGATCCGTTTTCCCACTAAAGTGTGCGGCAGGAACGTATGTACAGAAAAGTACCGAAAATGGTGGAGAAAAGGATAAGTTTTCGTCTGCTTTTTTTCTGAAATTTGTCTGATTGAATTTTTCGCTCAATATGCTTTCCTTCTGCACTTCACAGATACTTTTTCATGGTTCAAAAGAAATAAAATAAAATCAGGAAGCGCCTAACGGAATTCGAACCCGGCACCTTCTGGAAGCTAACAAACAGCGGCACACTGCTCGGCACGCTCAGCCACTGCCGACTACGCATGCGTGCTTTCAAATGTTTAGCTTGAGCAAATAAAATACAATTATTGCTAACAAATTACATCATCTTTCTCGAACGTTTTCCGGATACGAGAATTGATAATAACTGTAGGAGTTTTTTGTATGAGTTTTCGGATACGGAAAATTGAAACAAACCGCACTGTCGGCAAAATTTACGTTTCTTTGCTGGCTGGGTATAGACTTGCGATATGTACATATGTATGTATGTATTTGTTGCTGTTGATAACTAGGTATAGTGAGAAAAGCTTTTTTCTACATATTCTTATACTTTATAGTACATAGTTTGAAAGCGTTTCTGCGGATTTTTTGTTGTTGCGATAGTATTGCAGATAATTGTGGGAATTTGATTGCTGCGCTTCAACATATGTATATATTTTTTCATTATTTATTGACGTACACACAGACGCTTCCTTTCAAAAGCTACTGACACAATATTACTAGCAATTGCTTCATATTTTGCTAATAAAACCAAAGTCACTTCGAGCGCGTAGCAGCCGCTCATTTATCGCTAACACGCGCCGCTCATTGCACTGCTCACACATTCGAGTTGCATTTTTGCACGCACCTGCCGCCTGCAAGCCGCTTTTCTGCAACTATGTATACACACAAAACATACACACGCACGCCTAAACATAGAGGCTATCAATGTCTTGCTGTGCTCACTGATTGCATTTCCGCTGTCGTCTCAGACGCAACGCGCAACGCTGCGTTTCGTTTCATTTCAATGCGTTTCGTGCGACTCTTCCTCTGACACACTTCATCTTTGTATCGCAACCACTCTCTTTCTCTTCTACCTCTTCCCGTTACTTACATGCTTTACTCGCCTAACACACACATACACTGCACCTTTGGTTCTGTGCACTCGTCGTTCATTTCAACTTCATCGTTCACTTCCGTTGCTGTGCTACGCGGCAGCCATTAGTTAGTTAGTTGCAAGTACTTAAATTGCAATAAATATTTAATAGAGTTTTGCAACGGGTAAACGCGTTTAATATTTGCCTAGTGTGTAGCTTTGCGCCCGTTGCGTGTGTGCCGACCGCGTGCGTGGAACGCCAAACCGACAGCCGTTTGCAGTAACTCAAAAAGCGAGCGCTCAATGAAGACTGATTGTGGTTGCTGTTCTGCGGCTCGACGCGATTCGTTCGTTCACTCGGTCACCACCAGTTGATGGGTTCTCTTATCGTTTTTATTTGGTTTTTGTTTTTTGTTAGTGGAGCCATCGTCACGTCGCGGTGGCTCATTTTGCTTGTCGTGCGATATTTTTGCACGATACCGTTGGTGATGTCGTCGTTTTTCGTTTCGTTTAGCCTATGCTTATGATCGTTGGGCTGCGCTAACTAAGCGTAGACGCTGTTCTATGCTTGATTCACACTCGCTGTAGCGACGGTTTGGGGCGCGTCTGTGGCTGCGGCTGCGGCCGTGGTGGGTTTTAGCGCTGCGGTCGGGGCGTTTGGCGCGCTGTTACTTTTACGCGCTCTGGGCAATAATGCTTTTTGGGTTGCCATATATTTATGTAAAATCAAGGCGAATTCATTAAAATAAATGTAAGAGAAGGGGTATATAGCGATTTGAAACTAAATGCCATGGAGGAAGTATTACGTTCCTCCTTCAATTTGTGATGTGCACCTGAAACGTATCACACAAA